GAAATATCCTGTCTCAGAGTGACGCTGAAAAACTAGTTCATGCATTTATTACTTCCAGGCTGGACTACTGTAATTCATTATTATCAGGATGTCCAAAAAACTCGCTGAAAAGCCTTCAACTAATCCAAAATGCTGCAGCAAGAGTCCTGACAGGGACTAGAAAGAGAGAGCATATTTCTCCTGTTTTGGCTTCCCTTCATTGGCTTCCTGTTAAATCCAGAATTGAATTCAAAATCCTGCTCACATACAAGGTCTTAAATAATCAGGCCCCATCTTATCTTAATGACCTTGTAGTACCATATCACCCTATTAGAGCACTTCGCTCTCGCTCTGCAGGCCTACTTGTTGTTCCTAGAGTATTTAAAAGTAGAATGGGAGGGAGAGCCTTCAGTTTTCAGGCCCCTCTTCTGTGGAACCAGCTTCCAGTTTGGATTCGGGAGACAGACACTATCTCTACTTTTAAGATTAGGCTTAAAACTTTCCTTTTTGCTAAAGCATATAGTTAGGGCTGGACCAGGTGACCCTGAATCCTCCCTTAGTTATGCTGCAATAGATGTAGGCTGCCGGGGGATTCCCATGATGCATTGAGTTTTTCCTTTCCAGTCACCTTTCTCACTCACTATGTATTAACAGACCTCTCTGCATTGAATCATATCTGTTATTAACCTCTGTCTCTCTTCCACAGCATGTCTTTATCCTGTCTTCCTTCTCTCACCCCAACCGGTCGCAGCAGATGGCCGCCCCTCCCTGAGCCTGGTTCTGCCGGAGGTTTCTTCCTGTTAAAAGGGAGTTTTTCCTTCCCACTGTCGCCAAAGTGCTTGCTCATAGGGGGTCATATGATTGTTGGGTTTTTCTCTGTATCTATGAAGCGCCTTGAGGCGACTTTTGTTGTGATTTGGCGCTATATAAATAAAATTGAATTGAATTGAATTGAACATCAGAATCTGTAAGGTTTCGGCTTTCAGCCCCAACGGCTGGGTGTGAAAGCCAACACCTCACTGATTCTGATACGTTGGGTCCGCGCTCTGTGTTTACGTCTTCTTGCGGAAACCATGTTTCGTGGTTGTTGTAGTCAGGTTTAAACTGAGATTCTGACATTTCTGGCAAAGTACATGTATATTTAAAATTTGATTCACGATTTTAATGAATCAATATTTCATTATTAAAGCTAAAATTGATTTGAATCAATAAATCGATTATTGAAACCCACCCATAGTCAGTACTAAGATCTTGGAAACAATCATAGCGATGGAGACACACACCCGTGGGATTCATAGATTTTGATATCGCTCTATCTTTGTCTCACTTTGATATAGTATAGTGAGGTTTTTAACAACCAGTTATGGGACCTAACCCACACTAGTGTGGACTTTTAGTTGAAGCACCTGCATCAATTTAACCCTCTCATACTCTGTTACAAGATCAGAAATATTTATTAGGGTTAGGGTGCTGTTGGCTTCCATATGATGTACCAGTGAAGTAGTCATCGCTTTGGGCACTGTAACATCCCTGGTCTAGAGGTAACTTAGACTTAAAATGCACTTTGAACCCACACTTATCCCATGCTCAAGAAATATTCAGGAGAGCGGAAAAATTCATGATATTAGACATATCATGAACTTTTGTGGTGGGGTCGGGTGGGCTGCTTCGGGCTCTGTGGGTCGGGCGGTGCTGCTGAACTGGGCCCCATTCCGGATGGGCCTGGGCCCCCTTGCCCTGGTGGGTTGCAGAGTATCGGAGTGCCTACTGGGGTCAGCGGGGGAGCTGGCCCAAGGGAGGGGCCACTTGCCCCTCTCTTCCTTCCCTCGCCATCTCCTGCTGCCTCCCTTGTCCTGCTCCACCACAATCACCCACACATGCAGGGCCTTGGGGTAAAGGTGTGTCACCAGGGTGCAGAGGAGGCATCCCCCCCTCTGTCCCCTTCTGGCTGCCTGTGCCTCAATTTTATCCCACAACTTAGACATTCACATTACTGACACCTTGGACCTTGGAGGTGGGCACGCTACATGGCATCCAGAAGACCATCAGGGTGTACAACCTCACTCCTGGCGCCATTGCCCACCTCTCAATTTTAAATACACGTAGACATTGAGGGCTCTCGGGAGGGGCTATGCACTTACCTGCTGCTCTCTGGCAGGTAGCTCCATGCCCTCCTGGGTTTTAAATGCACCTTACACATGCATCAACACTACATATGAGCGGGCGGAGGGTGGTTTGGAGTCTTCACCCCCCCACTCTCTGTTGCCTGTTGGGGTGGGGGAGCTGGGAGGAGGAGTTGCCATCCGATTGGGGCATCTCTGCTGCTGCAGAGTCGGGGCGGTCTGCTTTTCTCTTTCTGGGACAGTGGCTCAGCTGCCCCTCTGTTGGTTTTTCTTGGTCTCTTGTGCTCTGAGGGCCTCTGGATATCTGGAGCCTGGATCTCCTCCATACCTGCTTAATGTCCCGGAGGACGCAGCTATGGCTCCCCAGCAGATCATTACATGAAGGAACCTTTTAAAAACAAGTGCGCTCATGCTCACAGGTGTACACACGGGTGTTCACACCCACAAACTACACCCTTTTTGGCTCCTACCTCAAAGCACACCGTGCGCTGTCGATCTTACGTGCTGCACAATAATGTTTAACATTTAGTATTTACTGTTATATTCACATACATCATCGCGATGATGTTGTTTATTATATTGCTCTCTTTTTTGCTTGTTTTCTCTTTTTTCTTTCTCAACAGGTGATCCAGGTGATTAATGTGTTTATTTTTGTCTGTTTGTTTTCTTGGTTTTTGTTTTTTGCCCTTTATCACCGTTCCTCTTCCCCACTGTTTTTTTTACCCTACCTCTCTTTCTTTCTCTCTTTTCCTTCCCCCGTCATGTCTGTGTGTGTAGCAAGTGAAAATAAAATAAAATAAACAATAAAAACAAAGGTCAATCAAGTAGACCAATATGGCAAGGCCGGGATGGTCCATTTGGTAAAGTAAACCCATTGGGCATCTTTCTTGGCCTTTAGAAAATAATTCTGATGGCAAAAGAACCAAACGGAACAGGCGGAACAAAAAGAAAGAAGTTTGGTTCCAGTTAAGTGTGATATCATGATCTTTTAGACTTCCAGGACTCACACAGAAGCATTGAAGGATGATGAAGATGATGGAGGGACAGTAAGACAGCAGTTCAGATGATGAGGATGTGTAAGTGCATGGCACCAGAAGAGGTGTGGATCTTATTCTCTACATTTGCTCATATTTAATGTGATAGTAACTTTGCATTTTGTGTGATAGCCTCAGGGATGATCCCTGTCAATGTGACTCCTCTCTTCTGGCAAAACTCCTACTATGACCCCTCCTGCTGACTTCCCCCTCCATACCTGAGAATATCAATTGACTGTTGTGTTGTTAGGTTTATAAAAATCACGTCAGTCTTTGTTTTTACATTCATCAGGTCCCAATCAGCCCAAAATGCAAAGAGAAATTAAAAATGTATGCCATGAAAACGTTCTGATCTTAGGAGGTTAAATCTGTAAAAATTGAGGTCCACAAATGACATCCACTACAATTTTTGTCAAATAACAATGCTGCATTTGTATCATTTCTGCCATTTTTCTTCTTCTTTTAATATTAATACAACTTAATTAACATAGTATTTTATATTATTTCACTTTCAATTTGAAAAATGTTACAAAAGCCTTGAAATAAATATGGTCTAGTAAAGCACACTGGAGGCTAACTCCAGATGTTTTGCTGTGTAAAACAAACAACAGTGGATGGAACAACTGCAAAGTTTGTTGGTTGATCAGGTGGTTTGATAAAGGACTTCCACTAGCTTTTTACCAGTAAATGTTTTCATGGTGAAAAGCACTGTTTTCTATGTTGCCAGAAACATAGAAACGTTTCTCTCAGACTGACCTCTTTGCTCCTCACTGTGGTGTAAACCGACTCCAGCTCCATGTTAAACTGTCCCAGTGTTATCATCACTGCTACTTTTACCCTTGCAGTGTGCGTAGGCTTAATATTAGACTTTTTATACACATGTGGCTCCTAAATACGTTTCAATTGTAGGTCTGTTTTTTTAGTTGCAAATGTGAGTGAAATACAATCCATTTCCATGGTAACAATGGCAAAAGGCAGGGCACACTCTAGACAGGTCATTGATCAAACTAACACACAGCGACCACCACCAATTAACCTGACCTTACTAACTGCATATCTGTGGGCTGTGGGAGGAATCCAGAATACCCCGAGGGGTATGGAACAACCACGGGGAGAACATGCAAACTTCACACAGAAAGTTAAGATGTTTTTTTAAAAAAGTTCAGATGGTTTAATCAAACTCAGAACCTTCTAGCTGGGAGTCAACAGTGCTAACCACTGTGGCACCATGCTACCCACAACAACAAAAACTCCACCCAATTTATCCAAACACACAACTTTCCTCTTGCTCACTTACGAATTGAGACAAATTTCCCCTTGCCAACGTCCCACAGATCCACAAATGTGGGTTGTGTTCATGTTCCAGTGTAAAAATAAGATATATAGTCTTCAACTGTATATAAGCGTGATAGTGTCTTTCCATATGTCACGGTGCGGCATGGCACACCGTGGAAGGAGTGGGGAAAGGAGGACCCAGGCGCGGTGCTCTATGTATAAACAGTGTGTTTATTTACAGAGTGGAACAAAAACAACAATAAATCCCCGTGTTCTCCCAGACTCCCGTGTCGTGTCTCTGCGTGAATAGTTCGTGTCTCTGTGCTCTCCGCTCCCATGTCAGCACCCCCCGGTGCTCGCTGCTCTTCGTGCCTTCCACGCTCCTCCTGCGGGAAACAATAGACGCAGCCGTCAGGACACAAATAACCGCGGGCATACACTTACACACATTAACTCAATTCAATGGGACGACTAACGTGGAGTCTCAAGGAATGATCCCGCGTCGGTGGGAGCTCCAAGACTCTCTTAAGTAGCTCCCCCGACGAGGCCTGATCAGCAGCAGGTGTGTGGCTTCGGGTGTGGCCAGTCCCCTTGCAGGGCCACACCCTCCAGGCCTGACGCCGCCTATAAACAAGTGCTCAGCCACCCACACACACATATACACAAGCACAGGGAAGGGGGAGCCAGTGCCGTAGCTCCGCAAACGCACATAACGCACACTGCGTAGGGCACCAAATGGCCGGTAGGGCACCAAAAAAATCAGGGTCGTAAAAAAAAAAAGTAAACCATATTAATACTATAAATATCATATGCATTAATATGGTTAAACAATACAAAAGCAACATAAAACAATTTTCCCGAGAAAAGGGGTGAATCTGCTTTGTGCCCTGTCTCCAGTCTCCTCCTGGTGCCCCCCCACTCCCAGTGGTCTGTTCTATAATTGGTAAACACCTGTTTGAACATGGCCTCGAAACGGCAACAGGAGTCGGGAGCGGAGAAAAGAAAGAAGAAGAGGAAGCGTGATGAAACTCAGGCGTCGCTTGCTGGTAAGGCAATGTTTAAATAATAATAATAAAAAAAGTTCATTATTGTAGCCCTTGCTTGCACGCTCATGTCCGTCAACTCTGTGATAGCTCCTGTTAGCAGTGTTCATACTGTGTTAACAAATGTTGCAAATGATTGATGTTGGGTAGTTTGTTTACGTTGTGGATATGAATATAGAATGGACTACTAAAAGCAACTCATCATGGTCACTCAATTGACGGTTTTCAGATAACGTTAGCAATCGTGAGTCACGATTGCTAACGTTATCGTGATTCGTGAGACTAGCATTTCCCTCCTCAGGTTGCTAGCTGGCTAACGTCATGCATGCTACTGATTAACCTTAACTTTGGGATAGGTCAGTGATGCAGTCAAGTATTATTATCAGATTAGACAAGATTACTTTGTATGTTGCTGCATTTCAGGATATCTATAAAGACGCATATCTTATTTATGCCATTGACGTCTGAACACATAAATAGTTCTCGTCTTTCTTTAGGTTCATAGATCAAGGGCGACATCTGTTGGTGAAACTGTAATATGAAACCTATATCTTCCAGTAATATAGATTTCCTACTTGCGCATTTATATCAAATTATGTACAGCATGTTTATATTGCCATTTGCCATTATGAAAATCTATACATGTAAAATATAGTTAGTAATTTTTAAATGTACCAGTGACTTACTTAATTTATTAGTCTTATAATGCAATCTTTCGTAGGCCTACTGTAGATTCAAAATTGTATTTCTGTAAAATCCCTGAATATTTTCTCTTGTATGCAGGGTCAATGCTTAAATATGTTCAAGGAGGATCTCAAGGACAGGATGAACCATCCAGTAGTAGTGCCATCCCTGGACATCAACCACCAGCCATTGTAGACCCTGCAACAATCCCTAGCCAAGAAGAACAAGAACCATCAACCACCAGTTCAGGTACAGTTCCATACACAAGTACCACTGAGAGTCCTGTCACTGAGAGACTATCAGAAAGTGACACTGTGGAGACATGTGTGCCCCCTTCAACCGATCCTGCTCTTTGGCCAGCTCACATTGTAGATGCTGATCGTGTTGAAATTGTGCGGAGAGGTCCTTTTAATGTCAGCTCTGATTTTAATTTTCCAAAGGGGCCTGATGGAAGAGCATTTCACACTAGCCTTAAGTTCAAAATTCTTCCCAATGGAGAAAAGGTTCACCGGAGCTGGTTAGTGTACTCACCGCAGAACAATGCTGTGTTCTGCTTTGCATGTAAGCTTTTCAGTGTGAAGGATATAAAGCTGAGTACAGAGGGCTTCAGTGACTGGTCGAACATCAACATCCGTTTGAGGGGTCATGAGTGTAGCCAAGACCACATACAGTGCATGCTTAAGTGGAGAGAACTGGACACACGGCTAAAGAAAAGCATGGCAATAGATCAACAGGAGTTGACCTTACTAGAGGCAGAAAGGAAAAAGTGGCGAGAGATTCTCAAACGATTACTCTCAATAACTCTCTCACTGGCTTCCAGAAATTTGTCTTTTAGGGGCTCTTCTGACTGTCTTTATGAGCCGGACAATGGCAACTTCTTGAAGGAAGTAGAGCTTATGGCAACATATGACCTTGTAATGGCAAATCACTTGGCCAACATAAAAGATGAAGGTTCCCACACACATTACCTCAGCCCTGAGACACAGAACGAACTAATTCAGATTATCTCTTCAGAAACATTCCGCGCCATTGTGAAGCAAATCCAGTTGGCAAAATACTTCTCCATCATTCTTGACTGTACTCCAGATGTGAGTCACACTGAACAAATGTCAGTCATAGTACGCATTGTTTGTTTCCAAGCACAACCAGATATTAAAGAATACTTTCTTGGCTATATAAATGTGGAGCAAACAACTGGCCTTAACCTGTCCAATGTTGTCCTTGACAAGTTGAAGGAGCTTGGCATTCCATTTGAAAACTGTCGAGGACAGGCCTATGACAATGGGGCCAACATGAAGGGGAAGAAGCAAGGTGTTCAGGCCAGACTGCTACAATTAAACCCGAGAGCATTGTTTGTGCCTTGTGGAGCTCACACGATGAATCTGGTCATAGCTGATGCTGCCAAGTCCTCTCCAGATGCAACTGGCTACTTTGGGTATTTGCAGAAGTTGTTCAATTTCTTTTCCAGTGCCACCCAGCGATGGGCCATTTTAACAAAACATGTGAAATTGACACTTAAATCTTGGAGTGACGTTAGATGGGAAAGCAGGCTTCAAAGTGTAACTGCTGTCCGGAGTCAGACAAAAGAAGTGAGGGATGCTCTCCTGGAGGCCAGAGAAGCTGTAAGTGATGCAGTCGCAAAGGTGGAGGCTCAAGTGCTTGCTGAGGAAGTAGCCTCATTTCGATTTGCTCCATCGTGTGGTGTGAACTTCTTACAATCACAAACCAGGTGAACAAGTTACTACAGTCCAGCTCCATGCAGCTCGATGTTGCTGTCAGGCTCATTGACACTGCCAAAAGTAACCTCTCTAAATACAGACAGTCTGGGTTTGATGAGGCTGTGTCAGCTGCCAAAGAACTCTGTGAGGCCCTGAACATAGAACCACAGTTGAAGGAGAAAAGGCTCAGGAGCACAAAAAGGCAGTTTGCATATGAAGCTGTTGATGAGCCCTTCCATGATGCCCTTAAAAAGCTTGAGGTCACATTTTTCAATTGTGTTGTGGACTCTGCTTTAATCTCCCTACAGGAGAGGTTTGAGACCATGAATCAAGTGAAGGAGAAATATGGAGTGCTGCTTGATTTCAGCAAAGTGAATGGGATGTCCAAGGAGGATTTAAAAAAAAACACTGCACTGAAGTACAGAAGACACTGACAGATAAGGGAGTAGCTGACATTGATGGACCTGAGATGATGCAGGAATAAAGCATTTGTGCTTAGGGCACCCAAATGGCTAGCAACGGCCCTGCCTGTAGCGTCACTGCTTCCCCCAGTTGGAGACAATTTCCCACTCACACTTCCACACTTTTTATTTTCTTTGTTTTCATCATTTTCTTTTCTCTCTTTTTTTCACCCCACATTAACCTGTTAACTCACTCCTTCAACCTCATTTCCTTTCAGTCCAACAGCTCTCATACAGTCAGCAATCAAATTCTCCATTCATCCTTGAGTACTTAATCACCTTTAAATGTCACTATTAATTTTATCAATTTATTTATCATTAGTCTAACACTAATCCACTCTTTAATTTGCTTTAGTTACTTTAGTTCATTTTCTCCTCTTTGATCACTACGATTTCTTAACTCTTATTATTTCACAGAAAATCATCTAATCTACTTTGTCTCCCTCTTTGTCATCAAGGAATTCACACACACTTGCAGGCTGCTCACTTGCCCCCACCTTTTCTTTCTCTCTCACACACACTCACACTTTACTCTTCGTTCGTCCCACCTGTGAACCCGCCCCCTCGAGGCTGGCTCACACACACTTCATGCTTCTCGCAGTTCCATTCAAACTTTCTGCGAGACACTTCTGCTGATTCAGGACAACGACCCAAGTGGCACACAAAGCGGGTACCGTCCGCTTGTGCGCCTCACGAATTGTTCAAACATGCGCCACGGACTTGATACCGCAGTTTCTCTTCCCCTAAAAAATATAAAACCAAATTAAACTCCCCAATTGACTTCACAGCTTGCAACAATTCGCGACACGGCCTCCTGCCGCGATTTCTGCACACCACAAACACACACTTTTAGACACGAATTCTTTTTGTTACTTTAATCGACTCCCGTACTTCAGACGAGACGCCGACTCTAACTGCGCTTTCACACACACACGCAATCTACACACTGCAGTCAGTGGGCTGAGCCAAGCAGTCGTTCTCTCACTAACAAAGCAACTTGCCCCCCACTCTCATGCACGTTATCAACCACGACTAGGATCCAACACCTAGCTTTAGTTATTTAAGGAGCCACGAATCCCCAGGTCACCACCCTGGATCTCCTGCCTTCAGGTCCTAGCCCCGCGTCCGAGACTAGGTGGGGTAACCAAACCCGTGACACGCGCAGCCCGTAGCTGGCGACGAGGCCTCTCAGCCCCGCTTTCTAACCAATAGTAACACACGTTTCCTGCTGTAACGCACGGGGACAGATCAAACACCGCCACTTTTTTTCCTAATAACTAAGACGGATCAAACACCGCCACGGATGAAACACCGATTCTATTAATCCGTAACAAACGTCTCCTGCTTTAACGCACCGAGATATCCTTACGGGGCGCTAAACATCAACCTGAAGTTCTTATCAAAAGTCTCTTGCTTTAGTCGCACTGAGACGGACGCTAGCCGCCTTTTTTTCTACTGAGTGAATTTACACTGGGATACGTTCAACTTAGCGAACAGATAATTTAGGCTTTAAACAATATGCACGGTTCGAAAATAAACAGGTCGTGCTTACCTTTTAATCATGTGAGCTAGCTCTCTGTTCGCCTCGTTTCACGATCTCAGCTCTGCCAATTCATCTCTGGGCCTCGAGCGAATCCCGCGGGTTCGGCACCAAAACTGTTGAGAATTCAGTTTTACCCCGGTTCTTTTTATTCCTCGAGCATCCAGAGATGGCACCGGACTCAGTAGTCATTTTCACAAAATCTTTATTCATCTACATTCATCTTCATTCTTCTTCATTTAAGCATGCACTTCTAGAAGGGAAGATGAGGCCAGTGTCCCTCTGCAAAAATCTTCACTCCTTTGTTCATTACAGTCAGTTTTATACAAGCGACCCCATCATAAAACCCCCTACGGTGTGCTGCAAACTCTGTCTGTGTCTATGTGCACGAGCACGTGAATGCCTACATGTGCACGTTCCCACGTGTCTATGTGAGTGCTCATGAGTGAGTGTGCGTGTGGATGTGTGTGTGTGACAGTTAAAACACTGTGGGGGTAGATGACTCCCTAGAGGTCATAAACCCCTACCTTGCATCCTCTGGGGAATTTCCACTCAGTGGGGGAGAAGCCTTCTAAAATCTACTCCTAACTTCACAAGAGAGTGAGGCCTTTATTACTTTACAAACAGTGTCCCTACAATAATTCTACATTCTATGATAACATATTTCTAAACTCTAAAATAAGCTAAACATTCCTACATCACCTATCAGTCTACAGAGGATCTTCAGTGCTGAGATGGACATGTCTGCTTTGGTGGTGAACGTCCACTCCAGTGTGATGTTGTGGTTCTCCTCTGCCTGATAGGAGCTCTGTGTCACATCCACTACAAATGATCCTGTTGAGGAGACAGAGAGGAGCAGACACACTCACAACTTTAGACAACATCAGAACTCCTTTCACAGTGAGTCAGAGACAACGCTGACAAAAATCACTGCTTCGTTGGTTGATTTTTTCAAAATGATCAAACACAAATCTACAAACTACAAAATCAACAACAATAATCTGATGAAGTTCTGCTGTGACAAACATGGAAACAATGATTTTTCCTCAGCATGAAGGAAATAATGAAACCATCAGAGAGCTGTGCTGCAGGACGCCTTTATTAAGGCCGTGCCATTAATAGAGTTCATTATTAGTTACTTATTAAAACAAGATCAACTTAATAAAACAATTATTGTGTCTCATTGTTCTGAGATCAGTTTCTGCTGAAATGAAGGTGATCTCAGTACTGACCAGGATAACTGTGATGATGATGATTTTGTTTCCATGACTTTCATCATGAATCTGTTGATCAGACTTATTCAGTATCTCTGCAGTCAGCACAGTTAAGCAGCCACAGTTTGACCATCCACCAAAATCTAAAGTCAATTTAAACAGCTCACAGAAAACTTGATTCACTGAGAGGTTTTGAAATCATGAAGAAGAAACTGGATGGTTGTAATTTACATGTGAGCGCTGAAAACATGTCACATTAGAAGGATTTCAGCCTGTAAACATCCACAGCAAACATCCACTCCCACTGAGATCTGCTCCATGATAAATGTGAGAGAAACTAAACACTGGTGACAGTTTAACTTTGTCCCTCCTGCAGATGGAGCTCAACATCAACTAATAACACAGATGTTACTGTAAATATTTATCAGCTCAGTTTGGAAACACAGAGACTCTGAAACTGTTTCAGGATTGTGCTGCTGGAGAAACAAAGCAAAACTCTTCACTGTGGACATGAAAATGGAAACTACTGTTTATGGTTTGATCAGGATTTTCACTTCTGCTGCTGTGTGCATGCTGATGGAGTTCACTGTTCCCTCTTACATGCATGATTGCTGAGGTCTTTAGTTAAAGGAAGTTAAAGTGTCTCTACACGTCGTCACGGGAAACTTGCTATGCTTTTTTTAAACTAAAGAAATAAATGGTTTATAAATTACATGTGAGCATTAAAAACGTCACACTGGAAATATTTCAACAAATGAAACTGAATCAGTGTTTTAAACCTACTCATCAGTTAATTATTTTTTATCTAAAATGATCTCAAAGTAGAGTCTGTTAAAAACATACTTATTTACCTTTAACAAAACCCAAGCTGAGAATAAAATTCCACAGAGAAACAGAGTGAAACCAGTCCATGATGACTGCTCAGATGATGGACGAGAACGAGCCCACAGTCTGAAGCCTGAAGTCAGTACACGTCTCCTCTTCACAATCAGCCTGCAGACAGTTAATCACTCCATGAAATCTCAACACACAGATGTAAACCTCAAATTTCTAGAAATATTTTTGAAAATAAAATTCAATGTCAGTGTTAAACAGAATTAAGTTGCTCCTAAAAGTGCAGAACTTGCCTGAGAAACATCAGGCAACAGTTTTCAGCTCCTTTTAGCTCCGTTTAAGTGATTCGCTGACAGCTGTCGTCACTGACACATCAAACAGCAAAGAAGAAATGTTCACAGTGAATTTAATTAATTTACCAACATGTGATTAAATCTAGTTGATCAGCTGTGATAGTCTATAATCTACACAGCTGCTAATGTGACTGAGAGTGATTCTAAATAAAAGCTGTTTACCTTGAAAGCAGAAGAGCGAGTTTAAGGACACGACACAGATCAGTACAAGAACATAATGACTGTAGGACGGAGCTTTGGCTCTGGTACCAACCTGCAGTTTGTTGTTGAACTGCTCCACCCACATTACTGCAACTGAGATTTTGGTGGTTTGAATGTGAGACTGAGTGGAGTCTACATTTCTTCAGTCCTGAGAAATGTGATAGTTTAGTTTTCACTGCTTGTTAAGTTATCAGTTAAAGAGTTATGCTTGTTAGTTTGTGTTGATAAAAACAGATTCTTGGTGTGACTGTCTGAATATAAAACATATTGATCTTAGACTTTGAATGATTCATCTTTTATAATGTTTTTTTTTATTATTATTGTTGTCTCTGAAAACCAGAACATGTTTGATTCAATTTAAAAAGTGTGTCAGTCTGAGTCAGTGAAGCAGAAGTGGATTTTCTGACAAACATCATCCTCAAAAAACTGTAGTTAGACTGCAGTAATAATCTCCTCCTGCCTGCAGTGATGGTCAATGTTAGGCTGTCATCATGTCTGAATTTTAGGAAAATTCACTTATTTAAACCATACAAGCAAAAACCCAAAAACTGAAAAAACACAGAGAACAGAAACAGCACTGAGACTCAAGTCATCTTCCTGTTTTCTGGTTTCACTTAACCTGACATCAGTAATGATGATGAGAAGTGACATTACAGTTTTTTCTGATTGCTTAAGCACATTTTTTGTAACTATTGGCTAATTTTGCAAAACTCTTCACACAAACAAGAAAACCTGTCCTTGATGATCCTCCCCGCTTTCCTCAGGCAGCGCTTCCTGTAGATGTCTTGGAGGGAGGGAAGCTCACCTCCAATTATCCGTTCAGAGCACCGCACTACTCGCTGGAGAGCTTTGCAGTTGTAGGCGGTGCTGTTGCCATACCAGGTGGTGATGCATCCAGTGAGGATGCTCTCAATGGCACAGTGATAGAAGGTCCTGAGGATGCGGGGGCTCATGCCGAATCTTTTCAGTCTCCTGAGAAAGAAGAGGCGCTGCTGCGCCTTCTTCACTGTTTTGTTTGTGTGTACTGACCACGTAAGATCCTCAGCCAGATGTACTCCAAGGAAACGGAAGCTGCTCACTCTCTCCACAGCAGCGCCGTTGATGGTGATGGGGGTGTGTACTTCTCTGCACCTCCGGAAGTCCGCTATCAACTCCTTTGTCTTTGCGACGTTGAGGGTGAGATGGTTGTCTTGACACCAGTGGGTCAGGGTGCTGACCTCCTCCCTGTAGGCCGTCTCATCACCATTGGTGATAAGACCCACCACTGTAGTGTCGTCCGCAAACTTCACAATGATGTTGGAGCTGTTAGTGGCTGTGCAGTCGTAGGTGTAGAGTGAGTACAGGAGAGGGCTCAGTACACACCCCTGTGGAGCACCAGTGTTCAGTGTGATGGGGGATGAGGTGATGCTGCCCAGTCTGACCACCTGGCGTCTGTCAGACAGGAAGCTAAGGATCCAGCTGCAGAGGGAGCTGCTCAGTCCTAGATCCTGCAGTTTCCTGTCCAGCTTCGAGGGAACGATGGTATTGAATGCTGAGCTGTAATCTACAAACAGCATCCTCACATACGTGTCTCTCTTCTCCAGGTGTGACAGGGCAGTGTGTAGTGTCAGGGCTATGGCATCATCAGTGGACCTGTTGTGGCGGTATGCGAACTGTAGAGGGTCCAGTGAGTCGGGTAGTGCAGAGCAGATGAAGTCCCTGACCAGCTTCTCGAAGCATTTGCTCACGATGGGGGTCAGGGCTACAGGTCGCCAGTCGTTCAATGAGGAGATGGTGGAGGATTTGGGTACAGGGACGATGGTGGCCATTTTGAAGCAGGCTGGGACTACAGACAGAGAGAGGGAAAGGTTGAAGATGTGCGTGAACACTCCAGCCAGCTGAGCCGCGCATGACCTGAGGACGCGGCCGGGAATGCCGTCCGGACCAGTAGCTTTGCGCGCGTTCACCTTCCTGAAGCACCTCCGCACATCCTCCTCAGACACAGTGTGCGCGCTGACGTCATCCGCGGTGCGCACACTGTCCGGTCTCATGGTGTTCGCTGTGTCGAATCTAGCGTAGAATACGTTTAGATCCTCACACAGAGAGGCCGTGGTCTGCGGTGTGCTGGTTTTCCCTCTAAAGTCTGTGATCGTGTTTAGTCCCTGCCACATCCTCCGAGGGTTGTCAAACTGTTGTTCCACCCTGTCCCTGTACTCACGTTTGGCTGCTTTGATCGTCTTCCGGAGTTGGTAATGTGCGTGTTTGTAGTCCGATGTGTTCGCGGAGGCAAAGGCGGTGTTCCGTGCCGCCAGTGCCGCGCGAACATCTCCGTTAATCCAGGGTTTTTGATTTGGGAAGGATTTAACTGTTCTGGATGGGACGACATCTTCCACGCATTTCCTGATAAATCCACAGACTGAGTCTGTGTATTGAGTCTGTGTATGAGTCTGTGAGTCTGTGTAAAACCCGGAAGAAGCACCGCTCTCACAGCAGTCAGGATACTGACACTTTAAACTGGATACGTTTACATGTTAAACGTCACACAGCCCGTGGAAGCAGCTTTAGTCACATTATAAGATCGATCGTACTAAAAAACTTGTATACAAAAGAATCAGTGAAAAT